TCACAGACTAGAAGAAATCACTACATGAGCCCAAATTATATCAAATATAGTTGAAAAAATCATGGAGAGAACAATTTTAAAAATGGCATCTTACTCTAATACGACTCACCTTCCAAAATTTATGCCAAACATTAGAAGTTTTACAATATTTTTTTAAGCTTTTTACCCCAGGCAAGGCAGGAGTGCCACTAGCATGCAAGGAGTTACAAAGAGTAGGAACAAAAGTAAAGAAGTGTGAAAGAGGAAAGGATGAAAAGAAGGATGGGGAATAGATCAAGGCATCTGGAGATGTCAATTGACATTGCATTTGAATAGTTGGAGATTATAGCTATCAGGGAAGCAAGTAAGAGGAAGGCAGTTCCACAGATGGGAAGTGCGAGACATGAAGCTATTAAAGAGACGGCTACATTTAAATGTTTTGACAGTGAAAGGGTGGGCCTGAGATGTCGACCTAGTGGCACGTTTAAAGTAGAAAGTAGCTTATCAGAGTAGTTACCATGAAAGTATTTGTAGAAAAGTCAGAGGGAGGCGATGACATGTCTTTGAGGGAGCGACCATAAATGAGATGCCAGATCAGGGCCAACCACATTGCATGTCCATCTCTGGATTTTGTCAAGGACCTTAAGATGAACAGCGGGAGCTCCAAACCATATATGACAGCAGTATTCCATGCAAGGGCGAATGGTTGATTTGAAGGATGAACTCAGGCGAGAACCAACTCCTTGTGATAGATGAAGCTATTGATTCAATGTAATTGTTCCATCTCAGGTCAGTGGACAGGTCAGCAGTGTGAGACCAAGCAGTTGCAAAGAGGTGCTCTCATGGAGTTGAGCTTCAGACATTCTAATGGGAGGCAGGGAGAGTTCTCTGTGGTGGGTAATAAAGAGCAGTTTTGTTTTTGAAGTATTAAAGTTAACCAGCCATTTCCTGCTCCAGTCAACAACCGATTGGAGGTCCTTTTTTGAGACCAACAGCCAGGTTAGTTTTGTCAATGATACCAGATTTGCTATTTAGGCATGAGCGAATAGTAGTGTCATCTGCATAGGAACTGATAACATCAGGAAGATCGTTAATGAAGATAAGGAACAATGTAGGACCCAGGATAGAGCCTTGAGGAACACCTGTGTTTGTGAGAAAGGAACTGGTGGAGAATTCATTAAGGATGACCTTCATTACACAGTTTGGCAGGAAGTTTGTATTAAGTCAAATAATCATCCTGAAATACCATATCCCTGAAGCTTACGAAGGAAGCCGGCATGCCAAGCCCTATAAAACACTTTAGAGATATCAAGAGCCAAGGCACGAGATTCTCCGTTATTGTGAAGTGCTTGGTAAACAAATTCAGTTCAGCAAGCACATCAGCTGTAGATCAAGCAAAGCAGAAACCATATTGCTTGTCAGAGAGCAGATCATGAGATGTAAGGTGCTTAACCACTTCAGTGTTGATTAAAGCTTCAAAGATTTTGCTGAAGAGTGGTAGGAGACAGATAGAACAGTAGTTAGATGGGTCAGAAGGGTCACCAGAGTTCTTAAAGACAGGTACAACAGATGAAGACTTCCAACAGGATGAAAAGCAGGAGTCGTTGAGGCAGTTGTATAGTTTGGAGAGGACAGGAGTCAGTTCAGGAGCACATTTCTTCAGAAAAATTGCTGATATCCTGTCCCACTTCCAGGTTTATGGGAGTCTAAATTAGAGATTATGCCCAATACCAACGATGGGGTAATGTGCAACTTCCTCAATAGAGTCTCGGTTCTAGGGGGAAAATCAGGTGTGGGTACACCGGACGAGTCGAATGGTGAAGTGAATGAGAATTTCTGAGCAAAGTACTTGGCCTTATCAGCTGAGGAAATCAGGACCTCAAATTGCTTGAACAAAGGAGATATTGTGGGTTTGCTGCTGTTTAGTACACTCTTGCAGAGACGCCAATAATCTCTGGAGCTGAATTTGTGAGATGCAATATGTTGTTTCATTCTATCAGCAAATAGTGACTTAGCTTCATTGAGGATATACCTAGAGACATCTGTTGCAATCTTAATGTCACAACAGTACAGGCAGAAGAAGTGATTCCTATGGACAATGACAGCTGAGCAGACAGCAGAGAACCAAGGGGATGAGTGCGATTTAACCTTATATTTCCTTGCAGGGATGAAAGCCTCGATTCCAGCTTTTACTCAGGAGGAGACCTTGGAAGCACATTCTTGAATGAGGAGATCATGAAGGAAATCACAGAACAACTCCCAGTCAGCTCATTGATAGCAGAAAGATGTTCTATTAATAAGAGGTTCTTTGCTTGGGGGGGGGTGAGTAGAAGGAGATGTTGACAGACACTACAGCATGATTTTGTTATTACTTCCTTGCATTTTTGCTTCATTAAATCAATAAAACCTAATTTACATTTCCCACATAGAAAACTATCAAAATCTGTGTCTACTTACTCTGGTTACACATTGTTTTTAAACTTTTGGAAGTAGAAAAGACAATGAAGTATAATGTATGTAGTCTACTAATAAAACTTTTTAACAAGCTGAAATACCAAAGCATTTGTTTGTACATCATGATGTCTGTTTGTCTGTGATAATTAACAAACAGGTAGTTTTAAAAAGTATAAAAAATAGATGACTATTTTTATATTTAGACAAAAATAATTATAGAATTTTTTGTACTTAAAGAATGTATTTTGATTATTCACATGTTCAATCTACATTACACAATTTTTCTCAACAACTATTACAATTATTTCCAGAGAGAAGGTTTAAAGAGAAAAAAAATGTTCAATATTTTTCTATAAATAGAAAACAGATTATTAAAAGTCAGTTCTATTTATTTTGATTATTTGTTCATATTTTCTCATACAACTTATCTGAAGAATGTGTGTACACATATATTTGGACGTAGCCCTTCACAACTTCCTGTCCTTTGTAACTTTTAGTAAGGTTTACTTTTTTTTTTTTTGTTGCTATCTCTCCTAAGTCCTGTTCTATCAACCAATTACAGAAACTTATTAGGTAGATTTTTCACTGCTTTTCTCTGTCTCTCTTGCTTTCAGTATATCCTGTTGGTGTCAAATTCTCCAAGTCCTCTTTCCTCATTATGCGACCCAGAAATTTCAATTGTGTGGCCTTTTTGTTTCCATTTTTCTTCAAACTTCTTTGTTACTTAGATGTTCAGTCTATGAGATTGTAGTGCTCCACTGATATACTTGCTATTGACAATAAAAAGATTAATGAGTCTTTCTTGGATTTAATAACTCCTCATTCACAATACCTATTATGTTCTATCAGATGTATAATAAAACCTAAAGATGTGGTCTTTATTTAAGTATTTAGATCAGGTTGATATAGAATTAGGATAACTGCTTTCTGCAATTTTTGGTAACTCATCATCTCTGGTAACAATCTTTCTAAATTAAAGAAAAGATGGCTTAAACTAAGACAGTTCAATGACTCTCTCATCAAACTGTAACAAAGAATTGGGTCAACTTAAGAGTTGGTTGTGTGTGATGTAGTAAGCACCATGAGTTATATCCTCTTCCACAATTGGCTGTACAAAGAGAACAGTCTACTTACAGAAGGTGATTCTGACAATTTGCATATGAACGATACTGGGCAGGTATTAGTCAATAGTCAGTGTAGGTCTGAGACTGAGAGAGCTATATAACACTAGTTTTTTCTTAGTTATGATGAGTGCTCTGAACATTACACTACGTAATTATCCCACATTGTAACAGCAGTAGTTTTGTGGGGAAAGGAGATATGTTGTATGATACCGGACATGAATTTATGAAATTCTGAACTTAGAACACTCCCAATACACTTTTGCATTAATAAATGATTTTCTTGAAATAAAACTGCATTCCTTAAGTCTAAATTATATCCAGAACTATTCTGATAAATGACTAAAGCATTGAGTGTACTGTTTTGTAAAAAATTCATTTTTTGATCAAATAATCTTTTATTTAATTTCCTAAATGTTTCACTTCTATATTTCTTGGAAGATGTTTTTTTCATTTTTTAAAAAAATTTCTACTTCAGATTTTATGTAATTATTTTGTTTCGTGTCAGTTAAATATCTTATTGCTTTGAAGTAGCTGTAACAAAATTTAGATCAATTCTTTTCAATTATAGTCATTATTGAGTTTGTTGGTAGTATTATGTGTCAATTTTTATTAAGGTTATTTCTGCTATTTTCTTTTGTTTTTGTGGATTTTGTAAGTTATCCTTTTTACAGAGTATATCAAATAATTCTGATTTTGCAGAAGTTTAAAAGTATTTTCAATATTTTTTTCATATACTAACAGTTACAACATTTAAGTTCTTTTAAGTAGAAACCTATAATTATTCCAGATTTTATTGTTGTTGTGGCATGAATAGAAATTGATGAAATCATTTTTGTTGGTGGTTTTTTTTTGATAGACATTTAGTTTTGGATTATTTTCAGTATGTTTTAACATATCAAGGAAAGGTAATGTTTGTTTCTGTTTTATAAGTAAATTTGATTGTATGTTCAATATGAATTAACTTATTTACAAAATCAGGCAATATTCTTTTGTGGGAGATAAATTATAAAACTCATAAAGTATAAATTTTATCTTACCAACAAGATTTTCAAATGCTTTTACTTACCTAAAAAAAAATAGAAAAGAGTAAATATTAGTAAAAGATGACATTGTTCATCAGAAAAGTTATAAAAACACAAGGAAAGTAGTTTTGCACTCAGTCATCTATTTGTAATGACAAAAGTACAGTGATCCCTCGTTTATCGCAGTAGATTGGTTCCAAGACTAGCCACGATAACTGAATTTCTGCAAAGTAGGAATGCCATATTTACTGTACTATTTTAACATGTATTTGGACTTTTAAAACCCTCCCTGTACTGTTAACAACCCACCCATTACTCTATTAATAACAAGGACAACTGTTAAGCAATAACACTTTAGATTAAAAAAAATAAAGATTGTTACTATACTCAACACAAAAGAAATTGAATTAAAATTTGAATGATGATGCGCAGTAGAAATGATGCTGATGTAGCTGATGATGACTTCTACTGTGCAGCAGATGATTGTATTTTACATCTCTTCAGATGGCGGTGCTTTATCCTGGGACACCTCTTCCACTTTTTGCGAAGGTGCAACTGTAGTAGTAGCAGCAGGAACTGGCTCTGTTTTGCAAAGCTGCAAAAATATTGTGATAGGAAGTTGCTGCCGCTGCTTCTTTTTTCTGTTCAAAGAGCATCACGTTGGGATTCATAACTTCATCGACCTTGTTGCAAAATTGCACAGAACTAACCATATCATCATCCCATTCCTGTGACCCCTCTTTCAATTCTTTAGCCAGGTTGCAGAGCTTGGCCAGCCGTTCCAAATTTAAGCCAGTTTGGTCGACAACTTCTTCCATTTCTTGCTGCATTTCTTCTTCTTCGCTGGCCGACTTTGTCAAGTCTTTAAGGTCTGCATCGGTTAGTGGCTGGTAGTGGCAGTCTAATAACTCGTCGATGTTTCCCATGGTCATGTTTGCAAAGCTGTCACCTCCAATGATCACAACCAACTGCAAAGCTTTCTGTACTGCAGAGTGTTGGATTTCGGCAGGTGTAAATCCCTTGTCGTCATAAATAACCTCGGGCCACAAATTCTCCCAGCTCACGTTAATGGTGGCAGGCTTCATTTTTTGCAATGCCTTCTGGATATTTTGGAGGCATGTAGCAATTGTGTACTGCCATCAGCATACCTTCAAGTTAAAATTTTCGTCTTCTTGGGCGTCATCCACAGAAGCAACCGTATCACCAGGACATTTCTCATGTATAAGGCCTTGAACGCCCTGATAACCCCCTGGTCCATTGGCTGAATATAGTGTTGGGCAGCAGGAACTCAATCTGAATGCCCTCATGTGACAGATCAATAGTGTAGCCACCAGCATTATCTATAAGAAGAAGGATTTCGAATGGCAAGCCGCTCTCTAATAGATACACCTTGACTTGCGGGATTAAACACTGGTGGAACAGTTGAAGGTCAGCATCTTCGTTATTCACGCCTTTGGATTGTGCATTCAATGTTCGGGTAGCAGATTCTTGTTTTTGTTTTTTTAAAGCCCTTAGGTTTTTAGACTTGTAAATAAGTCCTGGCTTTAACAACAATCCTGCAGAATTGCCACGCATCATGAGGGTCACACAATCCTTGTATGCTTTAAAGGTAGAGGCTTTTGCTTCCTATTTGTACAGGAAAGTTCGCGACAGTATTCTTTTCCAAAACAAACCTGTCTCGTCCATCTTCTTCGTGGTCGCCACTGTCATACTCAGGTTCCTTAGCGGCAAAAGTCTCGTACAGGCTCCTAGCCTTTATTTGGATGATATTCGTATTCAAGGCTATGTTCTTCTTTTGGCAGTCAGCTATCCATATGGCCAAAGCAGCTTCCATATGGATGATAATTGTATTACAAGCCGTAACGACTCTCTTTGCCAACTTATTAAAAGGTGATGGCAGTCGTCTTCCTAATGTTAGCCTCGTCCTTCTTGATGTAGTGAACAGTGGATCTGTTCATGCTAAAATGGTGGGCTATGGCAGCGAAAGTTCTCCCTTCAACATATCCAAAAGTTTCATCTTCTCAGTGATCGTCATCATATTTTGTTTGCATTTAGTCTCAGTACCAGCCTTGAAAGAAGCAGCATGCTTGGGAGCCATTGCAGAGGATAAAAACGCAAAAAAAAATCACTCACAGCACAGCGTAGTACAGTAAACCACTTGGCGAGAAAGCTTGAAGCAAATTGGTTGCGAGAGAGAGACAAGGAAAGATACTGCGGATCTGAGCATCGGTCAAAGCAACAATCTCGGGCCAGATTACAAAATAGAAAGCTGTGATTTGTCGTCTCGCTCCATTGCACCAATCACAGCCCATCTTACAACGCACTTCACCACTGAGATGGTATGCTTTACATTTTCTCAACAACAGGATATGCGGATACTGTATGCACATCGCATTCTAGATGGTTCTTTTCTTTTTATCATGTGAGTTACAAGTTCAAATACCTCTGCATATGTTTTTTGCTATTTTACGCTTGTTTTGTTGTTCTTAGACTAGGAAATAATATTTATTATTAATATTTTAATGGATTTAATGAGAAATTTTAGGTGTTCATATATCGCGATTTTTCTAGAATTTTTCAGAAACTCCACAATATATTTTCCATATATATATTTTAAAAATCTGTGAAGTCGTGAGTCCACAATAGTAGAACCGTGAATTAGCAAGGGATCACTGTATGCAGATGTAGGTTTTAAGAAAGCTTTATTCAACTCAGAAGTACCTCTCTTAAAGAACAGACTAACAAAACAAGGGGAGACCACTCCTGATTATGCATGACATTCTCACCATTTCTTTTTTATTCATACAGGGCAAATTCATTCCATTTTGCTGACATTCTGCTGCAATGTCTTGGTAAGTCAGCATTCTGGGTTTCTGAATCTGAAGACTTGCTGTGGCTGGCTTTCTCCTTTCATCCTGTGTTGACAAATAAACATGTCTCCTGCATGCGAGCTACTGTGATTCTGATTTTGAATCTGGTTGGGGATGGGTTTGCTTCTGAGCTATCGAGCAATCATTTACTGGCTCCCTCTGGGACTCCCAAGATGATACAGACTTAGTATCCAATACATGCAATGAGTTGGTTGATGAATCCCATGGCTCAATGCTGCCAGGTTGAACGTCAACTCGATATTTAGAACCCTCCTTGCAAGCTATATCAGGTTTGTACATCTCCTGTAGGTGCGAGGTATTTCAGGAAAACAGCAGATTCTTTCCCATCGAGGTGTCACAACCAGGCATACTGAGGATTCACTTTAATTAGCTCCACTCTATTTGTCAATGGGTCATTTTTATTATGGACGAACTGTCTCAGAAGAACCATTCCAGGTTTAGAGAACTATGAAGGAAGCAAAGTTCCTGCTGAGCTTCTTTGTTGAAATGAGAGGAACCTCTTGTGAGGCATAGCATTTGTGACTGTATATAGAAGTGTCCTGATAGCATACAGAGATTTGGGCAGGAGATTTCCCAGTGGGAGATCGGATATTTGTGATTTGCAGCGGCTAGTTGTATAGTTTTCCATATAATGCCGTTGTACTGTTCACATTGGCTATTACCCTGAGAATGGTAAAGAGTCATTCTGCTTGTGGCCACTCCACATTTCCAAAGAAATTGTTTCAACTGCTCAGATATGAAATAGGCTCCACAGTATGAATGGATGTAAAATAAAGAACATAAGCATTCTATCACTGAATTTGGCGATATGTCCAGACACGGAAATGCGAATGGAAATTACAAATATTTATTGATGACAGCATGTAGTGATTCCTATTTTTTGATGGTAGTGGACCCTTAAAATCTATATTTAATCTCTCAAATGGTTGCGTAGCACTTATAAGTGTCCCAGCATTAGGCCTGAAGAACTGTGGTTTGTGTTCCGTGCATATTCCACATGATTTTTTTCATTTTTTTATATGTTGTCCATGGAATATGGTAGGTTTCTGGTTCATACTACATGTGTCATCCTTGTTATGCCTGCGTGGCATCATTCATTATGTAGGTATGAACCGCATATATGTTTGGTATCGAGCTACATACCCTCGATAGTACATCTACCACAGCATTCTCTTTCCCAGGTCAATAGCTCACATCAAAAGAAAAACAAGAGAGTACATTTCTCCACCTTGCTATTTTGTCATTCTTAATTTTACTAGTTGTTCTGGTGATGAACATAAATGCGATTGACTTTTGATCAGTGATCAATCGAAAATGTCATCCTATCAAGTAGTCCCTCCATTATAACATAAGCTTCTTTTTCAATTGCTGAGTGTCACCGTTCCGAATGCGACAAGGTCCTTGAAAAAAATGCAACAGGGAATCCAGATTGCCTTAAAAAGGCAGCAATTGCACAATTAAATGCCTCTGTCTTTACCACCAGAGGAATGGCAGGATCTATAGCCGTAACTGCTGAGTTGGTTAATATTCCTTTTAAGATTTTTTAAAGCCTTTATTGCTGCTGAAGAAAGAGGAAAACTATCTGCTCATACCAATGGATGTATTTTATCTGAAAAAGAAGCAATCCACTGGGAGTAATGTGCAAACATACCCATAGCTCGTTTTAGAGCATGCATATTACTGGCAAGTTTAGTAGAGGATACAATCATTGCTATAGGCTTACAGTCTGGAGATAAGTTATTGAAGAGTGCCGGGTGCAAGACATTGACTGCTGTTAATCCACAAATGCTGGGTCTGGTTTGGGTCCTCCAAAAGGAATGATGCTGTAGAAAGTCATGCCCCAGTATCACATCACTGCAGAGGTTCTTCATTATTGAAAGTTTGATGTTTCTATATAAAGTGTTTGTTAACTGTAGGCTAACAAGGCAGTATCCAATCACTTGTGATGAAAGAGAAGCATTTGCCATAGACACCCAATTAGAACAAGGAAAAATCTTCCACTGATTAGCCTTCACAATGCTGAAATTAATATAACTACCAGAACTGTCGGTGTCAATTAGTGCATCAGTAGCAATGCCATTAACTGTAATATGCATTATGCCTTTTGAAAGGCAGTCCGGAGAAGCAGCTGTTATGGTGGCTACAATAAAAGAGGCAGTAGAAGTCTTATTTTTAGAGGGTGTGGACCCACAAACTTTTGAAAATGTGCAAACTTCCCGCATTTGTGACACCTAGCATCTCTAATTGGACAAGAGGACCGAAGGTGCTGACTCATTCCACAAAAGTAGCATTTACGACCTTTGACCTGTTACAACCTCTTTCAATCCCAGTAACTCCAATCATATTATTGGCATTATCACCTTGCTTGGGGTGAAATAATTAAAAATACATATTTACAAAAATGCACTAACTTGTTTTCTGGCCCTCCACAATCATAAAATGTACTGAGAAAAGCATATTACTGATCATTCAATTATGGGATAAAATTAGTAAAAGTAATTTAACAAGGTTGTCTAAAACTTTTGCACACCAGCATATTGATTTACTAATAGGATTTCTTTTTAGAACTTTTTAGATGATCATATCTAGCAAGGTTTTTAAAATAAATTGTAACCATGCCACTAAAATGTGTAGTATTTTAATAGTTTTGAAAATTAGATTGCTTAGTGAAACTTAAAATAATGAAAATATTAGTTACTAAATTTACTTTTGTAATTTATACTAATTATGAATATATGAAACCTGTGAGAGTCACTCATTACATAAACAATTTTTAGTAGTGTACAGTGTTTAAACTGATGTAAATTATAAAACCTCATATGTTGATTTCTTGTTTGCTGTTGATACATTTTAATAAGTACACTACTGTTTTTGTGAATTTAAAGAAAATGTTTTTGCAATGTTTTTGCTTCTTTTGTACTAATTGAAATGTCATAAATCAAAAACATTTTATTTATATATCTTACATTGTTATGTATTATTCTTAAGTAACAATTCCAATGAAAGTTAGATAATCTAGCAATTTAAAAATGCCAATAAGATCCATGAAAGAAAAAATAATTCAGCCTTTTTTCTCTAATTGCTATATAGAATATATGTTCTATTTATACATATTGTTATCTGGAAAATCAGCTTACACATAAAAACCTAAATGAGAAATAGCTGAATATTTTCATAAAATACTAAAGTAATATTTTTCCAAAATGAATGTATTTTTATAATTTACTCATGATATCATCTAATAAAAAACTTAGCCTGCAGTATTGTTTCTATTGTACAAAGAACATTTTTAAAATATTACTATCATCAGTACTATTATTGTTAGGAATTAATCTTTTCTGTAACTTGACCTATAGTTTTATGAAATATTCATAGGCTTACAATTGATTTTTGATGTTACATTTAAGTTCAAGCTTACACAATATATTGAAATCAGTAAGAACTGTCAGCTTTCTGAGAGTCTGGAATTGCTTGGATTAACACCAGATTATATAAAGGAGTAGAGAAGTGATGCTAAAGGACAAACAAATTTGTATATAAAAAACAGGTTTTCTATTCAGACTTGGCTTAAAGTTACAAAAAGGATGATTTTCAGGTCTACACATGCAGCTATAAACCAAGACAACATTAAAATGTAGCAACAGAGATTCAGAAAAATGCACTTTATCACTCTTAAAGGATAGAAGTACCTTCAAGATTTAGAGGACAAGTCTACTTGGATTAATAACTCTTAATAATTTGACATAAAAGTATATATTTGATCTTAGTCCTCATGCACAATCTATCTGTACATGAAAAGATGAAAATTACTGTTGTTCTATGCCTCTTAACTGACTGAAAAAAAACTGCAGTTAAAGGTTACATTATGAAAGAAGACTATAACACTATATAAGAATATAAAAGGAATATGCTATATGAAGAAATCAACACTTTCTAACAGGAATGTTTATACTTTGCCACTCAAAAACAAATCAAGAGTGCCATTGCACATGAGTAGAAAAGT